TTGTTACTCTTTTCCTCCGTTACTGTTTTCTGTTACATAGGTATTTTGTACTGTATCCTGTTAATTTACTTTCTCATTCTTTCTCTTTTTCATTATTTCTCATTCTCTTTCATTAACAGTGAATTATAATTTTACTTTCATCAATTATAACAACAAATTAAGAGACACATTCTATTGATTGCTTTTTTTTCTTTTGTATGGGTCATATTTTCTTGTTTCTTTATGTTTCTCACAATTACCTTGGGAACATGGATATTTAAAACAATATAATAAAGCAAATCTGAAAGTCTGATGTCTTACCTGCCACATTTTGTTGTTATCGTTCTTGTTGTTTGTTTAATTTGTTGTTTTTTAGTTCAGTGACTTTTCTAGACCAATTCTGGAGTCTTTATTCTTGTCATGTATAGCCATTGGATTCTGTGTAAGGTCAACTTCATGGTCAGTTAATGATCAAAAAGAGAATTCCTTAAATGCCTGCAATCACTAAATCTCCCAGTGTTTGTTGAGGGACTTGCTGTTCCTGTAGAGGATCACTATCAACAAAACCAGGCAGTTGACAACTCCGTCTGAGTCTTAACTTTCTGCTTTCATAGAGCCTCAACGTCAGCCAGAGATGAGCGCTGAGGGCCTTTTAGGTCTTTCCAGAACATGTGCGTAGCCCTGTGCAAGTATATGTCCATCCAGATTTGTAGGAAAAATAGGAGTATTTCAAAGCCAAGTTCTATGGGACATCCCATTCCCCAGAGTTTGCTTTTAGCTTTTTGGTTAGACTTTTGAGCCCAACTGTTATATGCTACCTCAGGCAACTATAAAATTAAAATACTTACCTCTCATTTCCTCCATTTCCTAAGTTGTAAGTGATTAATAGGAATGAAGGTGAGCAGAAGGATAAATAAATTACATGTTACAGGTAGCCTGTGGGCTCAAGTGCTTGCAGGGAAGAAGGATTTTTCCACTGAACAAGGTATTAAAGTGGTGAATTTCAGACAGCCTTGTAAGTGGGCTTTTTTGGGGAAACACCAGACATGTCAAATAATGACGGTTATTTGGTAATGAGGTTTTGAAAGAGCTCTGTTTTCTTCTTCTTTTTTTTTTTTTTTTAAAGATTTTATTTATTTATTTGACAGAGAGAAATCACAAGTAGGCAGAGAAGCAGGCAGAGAAAGAGGGGGAAGCAGGCTCCCTGCTGAGCAGAAAGCCCGATGCAGGGCTCGATCCCAGGACCCTGGGATCATGACCTGAGCCGAAGGCAGCGGCTCAACCCACTGAGCCACCCAGGCGCCCCGCTCTGTTTTCTTCTCATTGCTCTGGCTGCCATGCTGGACTGCTATTTTTCAAAGTTGTTATGGATCTGGAAGTGGGCAGTGGGAATAGGACAAGTTAAAAAACCATAAGGGGAGCCTGGGGACTCAGTCAGTTGAACATCTGACTCTTGATTTGGGCTCAGGTCTTCATTTCAGGGTCATGCATTAAAGCCCCGTGTTGGGCTCCACTTTGGGTGTGGAGAAGACTTAAAAACAAAACAAAACAAAACAAAAAAAACACAACCAAAACCCATAAAACTCACTTGCTGGTTTTTGTTTTTGTTTTTGTTTTTTCTTCATTGCCTGAATGGAGGAGTAAATTTTCATTGGCATTTTTGTTGATATCACCCTTATGCTTATGGTCAAATTTTATGATACATTAAAGTGATTCCTGTAGCTCTTCATCAATGAGGCAGGCTTAAATTGAAATGGCCGCATTCATTGATAAATTACCAGCAATTTTAAGAGATTACTATTTGAGGGTGTCCTTTAAGACATATAGTTTTAGCAAATATTATGTGGTTGTGTTGAGCTTGTTAGTTTAATGAGTGGGTATGAGACAAAACTTATGATTTAATGGAAACAGAATTTAATAAATAGAAAGTACCAACTGGAAAAAATTTATACTGAAGACTATTATTTCCTCTCTGTTATCTGAACTTAGTCATATTTCTGTCGTAGGTGAACACACTTTTGCCTTTCCAAAAGTTTTGACATTTTAACCTTTGCTTCAGTCCTTGGGCTTTGTCATGATGATCCATTTCTGCAGCTTGATTTTTGGGGAAATGTTCTCGAGCACTGATATTATCTCACTGTCAAAACACTCAAACTTTTTAAGTTCCTTTGAGCCAGTTGGTTGCTCTATAACATGCAATAGGATTTATGTCCCTTCTGCTCACACTCATTCCTATTAATCACTTAGAACTTGGGAAATGGAGGAAATGCAAGGCTGCCTGTCAATAGTTGAAGAACGTGAGACTGAAAATTCTACCTTATCTTTCCTGAGGATCAAGGCTGCTGGAATTCACTGCCAAAGTTGTTGGATTTAGCCCTTCTGACTTGATTCATGGTTTTTCTTGCTTTCATATTTTATATGCTTCCTTTTTTTTTTTTTTTTTTTTTTTTTTTGGTCATCAGTCTTGGTTTATGTTGGGATTTTATTTCAACACTTACCCAGCAACTGAGAAAAAAAATTTTTCTTTGAAAGCCCTTTTTTTTATTTATTTATTTATTTATTTATTTATTTGACAGAGAGAGATCACAAGTAGGCAGAGAGGCAGGCAGAGAGAGAGGAAGGGAAGCAGGCTCCCTGCTGAGCAGAGAGCCCGATGCGGGACTCGATCCCAGGACCCCAAGATCATGACCTGAGCCAAAGGCAGCGGCTTAACCCACTGAGCCACCCAGGCGCCCTGAAAGCCCTTTAATGTAAACATTTAACATTATCAATAGAATCACACTGCTTATTCTTATTTTGTCATTTTGATAGTTAACGCTTTACCATGAGATTATTTGAAATATGTTTTAAAGATATGCTGTGCACTTACATTTATGGATACAGGCATAAAATGGGAATTTATGAGCCAAATAAGCAAACCGAGATGAATACAGTAGAGGTTAATAGGAAACTTATAATGGTGATAGTGATGTTTGCGTAGATGTGTATAATATGATTGTTGGTAGGCTACTTCAGGAGTAAGAGGAGTATGTGCCGAAAACATTTGGTACATTTTTGGTTATCAGCTTCGTAAGTCTCTTCTCATTGGTTAGAAGCAGCAGTAGGTTGGGGTGTAGGATGAGGGAATGTACATGCTGGAAAAACTTACACTGCCAAGGATGCGCTTCTTTCTTGTACACTTATAGACAGGATGACTAAAGTATTTTGGAGAACAAGAGAGAGTTTTCCATATGATAGTATTTTTCTCTAAGGAACAGCTTCATCAGTTAAAGAAATTCTATATTCACACTGTAGGGAACAAGGTAAAATTGAGTGTGCATTTAAAGAAATACTTCGTATTGCCACTACATTGTTGGAATTAAAGGTAGAAATCAGATGTTGGTGTTGGGTGCATTTTGAGCACTGCTTTGTTTTCTCCCATAAGAAGAAAGTTTATTCCTAGACAAGTGTCAAAAGATCTCAAGCTGTTTCTGAATTTAAAACGTTACCTTTGGGCACGTGGGTAGCTCAATCAGTTAAGCATCTGCCTTCAGCTCAGGTCATGTGGGGTCCTGGGATAAAGTCCTGCATTGGGCTCCCTGCGCTGCAGGGAGCCTGCTTCTCCCTCTCCTTCTGCCTGCCACTCCCCTGCTTGTGCTCACTCTCTCTCTCTCTCTCTCTCTCTCTGTTAAATAAAGCCTTTTTTAAAAAATAAAACTTTACATTTTTAAAAAAGATTTTATTTATTTATTTATTTATTTATTTATTTAGAGTGTGAGCAGGAGAAGGGGCAGAAGGAGAGGGAGAGAGAGAACCTCAAGCAGATGCCACACTGAGCTTGGGTCTCATGTGTGGCTTGATCTCACTACCCTGAGATCATGACTTGAGTTGAGCTCAAGAGTTAACTGACTGAGCCACCCAGTTGAATACTATTCATTTGTATTGCTAGTAATATGATTGCAATAACACTTATTTAAATGATATCATGTTATATAGTAAATATAATAACTCATTATGCTTATTTGATTATTCATTTGCTTAGCATTTGCATTACCTTCTGAATATGAAGCAAGAGCAAACTAATGACTGTCCACTGTATTACGTGATACCAGCTCTTCATCTAAGTCATGTTTATATAGTTATTCCAGGGAGTATGTTCTCAGGACGGTCTTCTTTATTGCAGGGGTTTCAGTTATGGCTCTGACCATATTTACAGCAATCAATAATGCCATTATTTTCTGCTAATTAGGGTACAGTTTTGAAAGAGGTGTAGGGAAGAAGAGGTATCTTAGGTTGCATAATTTTACTATTGATTCTCTCAATGATGTGACAATTAAATTTGATTTCCAACCCAGCTTTAAATGACCATGGAATAACTTGGTCGATAGGTTATCATAATCATCCACATTATGTTTTCATTCCTTTTGACAAATAGCAAGACACCAAATAGAGTAGGACACAGTTAGTTCCCCAATTATACACTATAACCGTGTCAAGCATTGTAGGAAATTATGAAAGCCCAGAAAATGTCCCACACTTATGTTCTAGCCCTTTAATAATAATGGTTCTTTGGCAGGGTCTTCCCTGCAAAATGGGGGACAGCATCAGGGCTCTGCATCATTTTCTACGATCACAGGGAAAGCTGGGACTCTTTGATCCAATTCTTTCTAGAGCAAACAATGATCTTCTTTGAAGTTTTCATTTATTTTGGTGGGTGATGCCAGTACAGTATTTTCCCTGGATACTGTCTTTGCAGGGCTATAGCTTTCTGTGTTGTAGGAGGTAAATTAGGCCATGACTGCAGCTCATAGTAGTGTTATAGGGAGTATAATCACAATAAGATATTTCTCTGGGGAATGTAGTGATGTAAAATGATCAGTCAGACCATTTGCAAAAATAAATGGTGTGGTTAAATGTTTTATTCTTGAAACAGAAATATATTGACCTAATGTGGATATGGACCTAAATTCTTACTGCCTGGTATACTAAATAAATTTACCAAGGATTTTTGTCAGTAACACGCTGACTGCTGTTGCCCACAGCCCACTTCCTCTCACTGGTCTCCAAAGGGAATTCTACTTCCTCAGACTTAAGAAGCAGAATCTTTCTTCCGACAAATAACCAACATGCTTGTCAGGTATTTGAAAACACACAGCATTTCAAATACTTTTCACATTTGGGAAATTCTGTTTTATAATCATTCGGACATTACTTATTTTTCACAGATTACATTTTATTACTTCTCCAGCCAAGTGAGTAACAAGTTAGTGGCTGGCCTTCAAACTACACGTGGTGGTCCCATTCAGCATTTATGGCAAAACACAGCTGGGCTCTGCAATCAGTGGGAGAGAAATGTCATGAACATCCAGAGCAACCAGAAATTTCAGGTATGCATGTTATATTTTCTGACTATGTCATTGAAGGAAAAATGGTAAAATATAGGTCTTTAACTGATGTAGGAAACAAAGGCAGAAGAAAAGTTATTAAATTTCCTTACTCCCTACAGCCTATTGAGAAGTCCTCAAAACAGGCAGAGTGACATTACTCTAGGAACTCAGTTACCTTGATGTTATTTGCTAATAGGAAGAGGCAGTCTTAGCCTGACCCCCAGGACCCTGTAAGTCTATTTTAGCATATATAAAAATTCCTTTGGAAATAACCTTTATCTCTACCCCCAAGATACATGTTGGCAATCATTCTCCAAGCATATGGCCCACCAATATACATCTGAAGGGTCTCGTGACTCAGGTTTTATTAGACAGTAATAAATGACCTTTCCCAACAACAGCTAGCCCCCTCAAGTCTGGAAACCTTGCTTCCAAAATTCCTTAGAGACTAACACTATCCCTAACTCCCTCCCAACTTGAAAGGATATAATGAGCCATTCCTCGTGACCACAGTGTAGCCCTTTCTACCCATGGGTTTTATCCCCATGCTTTAATAAAACTGCCTTTTTGCACCAAAGACATCTCAAGAATACTTTCTTGGCTGCCTGGCTTCGAACCCTAATATCTTTCCTATATCATTAATAATAGATGAATTAAAAATAAGATGACCAGTGTCCCAGTTGGCCAAGGACTAAGGGATTTGCCAGGACTGTCAAGCACTGAAACCAAACAGTCTCAGGAAACTCGGATGGCCAGTCACCCTAAAAGACACTTTTAAAAGACGGGTTTAAATGTTATGTATAAAAACTAAAGTTGATATATTTTAACATATATTTATATATCAGTAAAATATAGCTTTCTAATTATCTTCTTAATTTCTTAAATCCCCTTCATTTTCTATTTCTTTTACTATTCCAACCTCCTCTTTCTTTTCATTTCTTATTCTTAAGAATTCCTTATCTTCCAAACTTTTCTCATGCTTATCAGAGAACAGGGTTATATTGGGTAACGAGGAAATAGACTATTTGATTTAAATACTAATTCCAAATGCTGTTCAAGTAGAATAATTGTCATATTCATCTCATGGCTAAACTCAAATTATTCAATACAGCCTTTATTTTCCAAAATAATTTTGAGAATGAAAGCCCATGTAAGCCTATAAAAGACAAACTTATTTATGCAGCCTAATAAAACTTATGTATGGTGGAAATTATAATCTCATGATTATTACAGGAGTTCCTGGTAAAGCATTGCATATTTTTACATTTGAGAGAGCTGAGAAAAATTTCCCATTAAAAACAGGATCTTAAAGCATTTTATAAATTTGCTTTTTAAACCTGGCTTGCAGGCTGATTTAGCCATCTTGGCTAAAGCAGGTTTCCTTTATTGTCTGTTATTTGAATAGTATAATAATCAATTTTGTAATTTTAATACAGAGTAGAAAATCATCTGCCATGTGATGGATTTAGCACTTGCTTAACTATAGGGATTGAATTGGTTTGAATTTTAACTTCAGTTATTTTGAGTGGCAAGAGGAAGGATGGGAGAATGAGCAGGATTTCTACTATAAAATTGAATTGCAAGCTATAAGAATGACACATTTTCTTAATTGATCTGTCATAAATTCACTGTAGTTTGAAATTTCAGGCTTTTGTAAACTAAATGGGGTTCCAAAGAGGATCAGAGAAAATCACTTCGTAGATGGTTAAATGACACCTAGATGAGAGCACGTTCGAGGAACTGTATGGCTGGAAACATAACTCTGCCGTTTGAAGCTTTGCATTCTATTGAAGTCAGATATATTGGTGTGGGGGCTGCATGGGGACCACAGGGTATCTTAAGCCATCAGGCATTCAAGTCCTCCTGTGAATGATGGATTCATTTATTTAACAAAGACTCACTTGGGGCGCTCAGGGTGTATCAGGTGGGATTCAGGGAATGTTCCTAGTATATGTGAAGAAAAGAATTTTCTCCCAGCTTTATTGAGATATAACTGATATATGTGTAAGTTTAATGGATGTAATAGGATGATTTGATGTATGTACATTGTGAAGTGATTTTCACAATAAAGTTAGCTAACATATCCATCACATTGCAAAATTATAATTTTTATCATGCAGTAAAAACATTTAAGATCTACTTGTCTTTGCAACTTGGAAGTATATAATACAGTATTATTAGCTATGTTCACCATGCTGCTTATAGATACTGAGGATTTAGTCATTTTATAGCTGGAAGTTAGTGCCCTTTGACCAATATTTCCCTGTTTCCCCTACCATGCAGACCCTGGCAACCGAAAAATTACTCTGTTTCTATGTTTGGCTTTTATAGAGTCCACGTTTAAGTGAATCATAGAGTATTTGTCTTTCTGTGACTTATTTCACTTAGCATAGTACCCTCAAAGTTCCAGCATGCTGTCATAAGTGATAGGATTTCTTTCCATTTTTGGCTGAATTATACCTTTGTATGTATATACCACATTTTCTTTCTCCATTCATCTGTTGGTGGACCCTTGGGTTGTTTATGGCTTGGCTGTTGTAAATAATGTTTCAATAAATATGAGAGTGCAGATATCTCTTTGAGGTTGTGATCTCAGTTCAGTACCCAGAAATGGGATTGCTAGATCATATGGTAGTTCTATTTTTAATTGTTTGAAGAACCACCGTACTGTTTTTCATAACGGCTGCACTAGCTTCCATTCCCACCAACAGTGAGTAAGGTTTCCCTTTTCTTCACATCCTTCCAAACACATTATCTCTTATCTTTTTGATAATAGCCCCTCTGAGAGGTGTGAAATGGCATCTCATTGTTCTTTTGGTTTGCATTTCCCTGATGATCAGTGATGTTGAGTATCTTTTCATGTACCTGTTGGCTATTTCTCTGTCTTCTTTGGAATGTCTATCTTTGGAATGATATTCTCTAACTATTTTATTTGTGTGACTTTTTTTTTTGCTATTGAGTTGTACGAGTTTCTTATATATTTTGGATGTTAACCCCTTATCTGATAGATAGTTTGTAAGGGGAGCAGTAATGATAGGCATGTGGAAGGGAGACTATGTGTTCCTGGATTTTGGGTGTGTGTGCAGACTGAGAACTCTGAGCACCATTAATGCATCTAATTTATTGTGGATTTTCAGGTATCGTTAACCACTAAAGAAGTTTCTAGTTTCTTTTTTTTTTTTTTAAGATTTTATTTATTATTTATTTGAAGGAGAGAAAGAGAGACAGCATTAGTGGAGGGGGGAGGGGCAAAGGGAGAGGGGGAAGCAGGCTCCCTGCTGAGCAGGGAGCCCAATGTGGGGTTCGATCCCAGGACCCTGAGATCATGACGTGAGCTGAAGGCAATTGCTCAACCCACTGAGCCACCCAGATGCCCCTAGTTTATTTCTTAACACTTCTCTTTTTTCTCCCCTATGTCTCTCTGTCTTCTCTCAATAACAAAGCAAAACAAAACAAAACACAAGAGCAACAAATCGGAGCCAAGAGTGCTTTTGAGGGTATTGAGTCACAATGACTGGATACTGAAGGATGAACTTGCTGAAGTCCCTTCTGTCTGTATGCTCACATAACTTTAATGACTGAAATGGGATTTTGTCTGTGTATAAACTTTGTCAGCATTTACACATCCTTTCTGACTCTGAAGCAGAGTGGATGGTCAAAGAACCCTAACCTATCTTTTTGCCAAGCTTTGTGCCTTCCCATCTCTGTCTCCAACTCAAGGTCAAGATCTTCATGGGTAGGGTAGCCAGACGGAGATCTGGGCATTGGGTAGAACTGGAACCAGCTGAGTCTTGTGTGTTAAACCCCTTTAAAACAACTTCCTTGTTTTTTCCCAGCCATCCGTTCCCAAGTGGCCCATTGCAGGGGCTGATGATTAAATATGTGTAGCAGCAACTATAAAACTGAAAACTCCCAAATATATCACCGCAGGGGCCGCGGGGCTGTAGCTGATGCAGCGAGATTATTCACTTGAGTGCTTTAAAATGAGTCAGTGGCTCCAGCGAAAGCAGATGCCTGTGCAGTATATTAAGTAGTTTGCCAAAATACTTTATTGCTGATATGAAAACAGCGCTTCTACCTTAGAGGCTTTGTAAAACTTAGGAAACCGTATGACTCTCCTGGGATCCTTTGGCTACACCAATCTTTAAGATTGCAGGCATGTGTTCGTTCTGTCCTGTCAGCAAGGGAGCAGGTGTTCACATGCTTTTGCTTAGCTGAGCCACAGAGACGCACTGTGCTTGTCACACGTCCCGCCGTCCTCGCGTAGCTTCGTCCTGCAAAAGCTCGAGTGACAGGAGGGTATTTTGTAATCAGCGTCTCCAGACAATATCTGCTGCCTCATCAGTTCATAAGCCTCCGAGAATTACTCTGTTTTCTGCAGTTTTCCCTCCATGCTGCCTTTGGACAGTTTTAAAGCCTTTCATGCTTCCTTTAGAGATGTCCAAATAGGAGATGGCAGTTTCCGCTGGACCAGGGCGTAGCACGGGCTTCTGAGAAAGTCTCTGTCATGTGGGGGCTTTGTCACCTTTATGTGTACAGTGCTAGGTCCACGCCTTAATGAAATGAAGCGCGTTCATTTCTGAGGGAATACTGCAACCTGACAAGACTTGTATTTATGCATCTAGTCAACAAAGACAGCAGCATTTAAGAAAGTTTCTGAAGATGTTTAAGGAGTAATAACATCTAGGATTTACTGAGCACTTACTACCCCATATAATGCACTGCATTTAGTCCTTTGTATATATGATTTTATGGGCCCTGCATAGCAGTCTTCTGAATCAGAACTATAATTCACAAGCTTTGGAGAGTGAAATAACCTATTAAACTCCATCCAGATTAGAACCCAGTATAGTTTGATTTCACATCTTAATCACTTACTCACTGAGCCATGATCATTTCTTTATCATGTTAAAGCATTATAAGGATTAAAAAAAATTAAAAAGCATTATAAGGATTTATAAAATATAGATGGAAAAATCCAACTTCTAGATTTGTCCAAA